TCGTATTATATTTATAAATTGTTATAACATGTATAAAATCATGATTTTTCTTAACAACTAAAATCTTGCCGGGAATGGGGCTTTAAGACTTTTAATATTTTATGAATCTTGACTTTTAAATAGACAAATATCAAGTTGATTATGTGTGTTTAGAATAGAGCCAAAATTGATTTATATCATAATGAAGAAAACAATTAATGTACAGACTGACGTTTAAAAAAAGTGAGAAAAATTGCCTTTATTTTTTTTACTACTGCTGTACCTAGAATTGTAGAAATTTTGGCTCGTTAAATATTTAACATTAAGTGATGCATTCTAAATAATGATGTATTTTAGAAATATAAAATATATTCACATGTATTAGGCCTACTATGTATACTACTACTAAAACAATGAAAGTTTTTAAAAATAGACCTACCTACCTTTCAAACACATGATACCATAATCAATTTCTCAGGATCACTAATCCTACAGTAATAGTGCATGAAAAATAAATTATTTTTGGTGGAGGTTTTTAGACCATAGCTGCTTTCTCTTTAACAGAATTGACAATAGGTTGCAGTTGAGGAATAGCCATACAAAACAATAGAGGAATTGTGGATTTCAAACAGAATTTTACAACATGTTCAGTAAATGTGATATATAAAATTTGGGCAGACATTATTTTACAAACTATATTATCAGAATTGTGAATTTCAAACAAAATTCTAAAACCATATTCAATATAAATGTGAAACAAAAATAGAGCAGCCATTTTACAGTCTAGTATTTATATTTAAAATGACATTACAAGTTCAGTAGTTATATTCAAGATTGATTTTTTCCAGAAGCTGCATAATATGTTGCCATATACGGTGTTGCTGTTATTTACATTTTTTGATCGTAAGTATTATTTTTCAGTTATTTTCTTTTTAATTGAATATTTATTCATTTCATCATAAAGTAACTGTTTCATCGATAATAAACCAAGCACAGTTAGGCCTACATAAAAATAGTGATGTTGGCATAACCTGACCTATCCTAAAAATATCAGCCGGCCCTAGACATTTTTATTTAAATTTCACCATACAAGTTTACTAAGTTTAACAACATACAAAAAAAACAAAAAAACAATGCAAAACGACTGAAATACATTTTTTTTAAAAGTAGCATGGATATTTTAGGCAGGTGCGGGCTGTTTAATTTCTTTTTTAATGAGACTTCTAAGTCTAGCCCTAGACATAAGACTGCTTGCAAACCAGTTGTTAAGCAGTATGTTTCAAATTATTAAAACAATAAATAATGGTGAACTAAAATGTTATCAGTTAGGTTAGGCCTAGGCTTGCGCAGTGTCCCCCGATGAGTGATCGTGGTTGGGCGTCACTCAAAATGTTTTAAAAGGTGTCCATGGCAAAAAATAGGACAATTCAGGAGCTTTAAAGGATTATTTACTAATTGAATTTACACATTGTCTAATATGTTGAAAATAAACATGATTTTTTTTTCTCCCCGACAAATTGTGGTTTTTCTTCCCGACGTGAAAGAGAGTCAGCTCTTCCCGGCGGGGCCCAGTCCCCACTGACGCTAATTATTGTGGCAGTCAAAAAAAAATTGTAAAAATCCCTACTTACCCTTTTGTTTGGGGACCGTTACACTAACATAACATTTGTGTTTTAAAGCCCTTAAATGTAAACTTAATGTGAGCTTTTGTGTTGCAATATGATTTCTCCAAGCTATGTGAGGTTGCATCCATGGGCAATGCCCTATGGAGTAGCTCTCTTCCTGTCTGGATTGGTCCTGGAGTTAAAAGAGTTGGTCATCGTCTGTTTTTGTTTCCTGAAGCTCATAGAAAGTTTACATCAAATTGTGCATGGGCTATTATCGATGAAACAGTTTCACTAACATTATTTTGTTGGGTGAAAAATACAGAAGCTGCATGGATGAAAATTAAATATGACATGGTTATATATATTAGGAATCAAATGGATAAAAAATGGTAAAAATTAAAGAAATAATTTTTCTGTTTTTAGACAATTATTGAAATCATAGGAAATCATCACAAACATTGCAATTGTTTAGAAACATATTCTTTGAAGGGGATTATTGATATTATATTAATAAGCCAGTTAATCTCAAAGAAAATCCGGAAATAGCAAATGCATTGATATTTTTATGAATCTGTCTTCAAATGTAACAACGTGTATCATTCCATTGTGGAACGTATTGCTACTGATATAAGTGAACAAAAATGGTCCGATATGGGTATATTGGACAAAAAATATTTTGTATGGTTCACTAACTGCCAATCGATAATAAAATTAAGGTTTTTCAGTTTAAATTTATGCATAGAATCATTTTCATGAATGTAAAAATATTTAGGATTGGTCTGGTAAAGTCTGAATAGACCGAATCGGCGGCTCGGGTCACGTGACTTAGAGTGCGACAGTGCATTGAATATGGCTTCGCCTTGTTAATATAAAGTCGCATCATATATGTTGCAAATGTTGGTAGGAATGCGAGTTATAATTTGGTAACTCACTTAGAAGTGTTCAAAAATTAAATTTTCAAATACTTATATCAGTTTGGTATGGTAAGGCTCCAATGGATAGTGGGAGTAAAGCCTGGAATTTTTTTTAAGGAAAAGTGCGGTACCTTCCAGACGTGCATATTGCTCCACTGAGTCGTCGCCGGCTGAAGTACTTTTTAGGCTTAGGCCCAAGCCAAGAATATAATTCATGGCAATTGCTATCGCAGCATGAACAAAAAAATAAAACGAATCCCCCCATTCGATGCAAGAGTATTATTTTACAGTTATATTAAATTCAAAATTAAATCATAGGATGTTTGTTGTTACTGCCGAGGATAATGATCATCATTTGACAACAAATATTATTAAATACGTACGGCATTAGGATGTACCTACAGTACTATCATACCATGATAGGCCTATTTTCACCAGCCTGTTTCCTAGACCAAGTTTGGTTGAGCAATCAGTACCGTACTTTATTACCTACTCAACTACAGAGATATAAATAGTCAAGGTACGATCCTTGACGATGTGCATATTGCTCCAGTCAGTGGAGGCGTCGCCGGCTGACGTACTTTTTAGGCCTAGGCCTAAGTCAAGAATGTTATTAATGGCAAATACTATCGCAGCATGAAAAAAAAAAAAAAATGAATCTCCCCATTCGTTGCAAGAGTATTATTTTACAGTGATTTTAAATCCAAAATTAAATCATAAGATGTATGTAGTTACTGCCGAGGATAATGATCATCATATGACACATTATTATTACGACTGGCATTAGGATGTACCATACCATGGACCTATTTTAAATAGGTCGATGACCATACCAACCAGGCCTATTATCACCAGCATTAGGATGTACCTACAGTACTATCATACCATGACAGGCCTACTTTCACCAGCCTGTTTCCTAGACCAAGTTTGGTTGAGCAATCAGTGTAAGTAAGTTACAAAAGCACACCATCTTTTGGATGAGATTTAAGCCATTGGTCCTGTGCGCATTATGACCAATGAAGAATGCAGTAGGCCTACACTCTTTAGAAGTCACCAAAAGGACCCAACAGGAAATATATCTTTTTCAGACTTTTGTGAGTTGTCCTTGGTGTTTGCACCGAATATATTCATCCATCCCATCTACATTCATGATTTTATTTCTCAAAAAATGTTTCAACTTGTAAAGCTTAAAAATTGTAGTCATTGATACTAATTCTAGAAAGGACTGGTAAATAATATTTTGAAATACAGTACTGAGGACTGCAAAAAATTCCTATAAGAATAATCGTTTGGATAATGATCAGATAAATATGAGCTACATGTTTGATAATCTAATAATGAACTAATTGCATTTAATACCATATGCTTCATATGCATGTTTAGTTTGTGTGTAATTTGTGTTTTAATCTGGTCTTATCAGGAGTCAACAGTCAAGTCGGTGTCACTTTTCCATCAACTAACGCTGTAGCTGGTGATGATGCCAGATTGGAATGCGCATTTAATTTAGATACTAGGACCTACAGCGCTTCTTTTCTGATACAAAGTGATGTAGATGGAAGTCAAGGTGATACACTTGTGGATTCAAGCTCAACATCTGCTCCTGGGAGTAAATACAGTGTTGAGGAAGACTTGACTAATAATCAAGTCTTTTTTGTGATAACAAATACAACAAGAAGTGATGAAGGATATTACCTCTGTGTCATTCAAAATAGTGGATTGGATGTTACTTCAAATGATCCTGCCAAGCTAACTGTCTTGTGTAAGTATTTTTTAAAAAACTGTATACTATAAAGGCAAATTTTCACTGTACTACTGTATGATCTACTGTATGATAATAATGATAATAATAATACGTACCCCAGTTATACGAATCCTCGGTTTTACATACGCCTCATACTAGGTATCACAACGGACATACAATGCATAACCACAAAACTGATAACAGTGTACAGATTTCACAAATTGCACAGATTTTGTTTGATAAATTTTCTCATTTCTTGTTTGAAATTGATATTAAAAAATATATGTATGGAAACATACATGATGGGGGGTTATGTTACGGTAGACACTAGCAATACACTTGGAGTCAGAGATATATTAAAATAGGTGTTTATTCGATTGTGTCTTGGAGTCAACTAACTGATGATAGTGAACGTGATTGGTCACTGGGTATGGCCTGATAATTCTATTTATAACTGGGTCAGTTTAGGGGTGTACTTTCAAGGTATTTTAAAGTAGGTTATAATGCAACATCTTCCCCTTTTAGATTAAGTGAAAGAGATTTTTTCCGTGACCATCGTTTCACTAATTATTTACACTTCTACAGTTTTGGTTATATGTGTAGCCATTATATATCGTATATACTAATAGTTCAGCTTCAATTCTTTTTATGAGAGATCATGTTGGCATCATGCCGCATGCATGCAATAATTTATATACATTTGGATAGGAGTGTAAGAGCAATTGTTCATAGTTCATTTTATACTGCTCATAAAGTCAGTTATTTAGTGACATAGTCCTGTAGTTTGATGGGTGGTTTGCACATCCGTTTTGGTCGGTCGTGGATAGCTAATGGTGGCATATCCTTGGCACTATTGTTATTAGCGCTTTGTGTTGCAGTTTCTGGTGCTGTGTCTTGACTGATTGCGCTTCCTTGGTTAGTTGGGTTTTGTTGTGGTTTTTGATAGGTTTTTTCCGGTTTGATGTTTACCCGGTCTCTGGTGTATTGTATGCCAGAGGGTGTTTCAACAGTGTAGTTCCTGTCAGATGTTTTCGATACTACCGTAGCCGGTTGCCATATTGACTTAGGTTTCATCTGAAACCTGCATGGTTGTCCAATGTTGATCTTAGGTGGTTGTTTTTCAATATGGCTTTCTCCATATACGATTTTTTCACCGTACTGTGTGGTAGCTAGTGTTCCAAAGTTGTTTATTGCTGGCAGATTTGTTTTTATGTTTCTGTGTCCGAACATCAAAGTGAAGGGTGAGGGGATGTCGTTTGCAATTGGTGTGTCTCTTAGTGTGCACAGTATTTCGTTGATGTCTGTAAGTCTGCTTTTCTTAAGAAGCTGTTTGACTGTGGCGATGTTCCTTTCAGCTCTCCCATTTCCTGCTTGGTGGTATGGTGCACTGGTAGTGTGCAGTATCTCATATTGTCTGCAGTACTTTTCAAATTCTTCGCTGACTAGCTGTGGTCCATTGTCAGATATTATGTTTTCTGGGTATCCAAACTGTGAGAATATTTTATCCAGTCTGGTATATATGGTTTTGCTGTTAGTGTTCATAAGCTTTTCAACCCAGACATAAGCTGTATAGTAGTCGACACAGATTAGGAAGTCTTGGCTCTGTATTTCAAATAGGTCGATTCCAACTCTCTGCATAGGCATGTTGGAATGTAATGGAAGTACAGGTAGGTTCTTCTGGTTGTTCTGATATGTCTGACACAAATCACATTCTGTGATCATTTGCTCTATATCAGCATTTAGACCAGGCCAGTATATGCTTTGTCTCGCACGAAGGCGTGTTTTCTCTATACCCTGGTGTTGCTTATGCAGTATGCTGAGTAGCTTCTTTCTCATGAGTGTTGGAATGACGATTCTGTGTCCCTTGATAACGATTCCATCATACACAGCAAGTTCTGATCGGTGTTCCCAGTATGCGTGTGTGAACTCGTTGCATTGGTTTCTTTGGCTAGGCCATCCTTCGATAATGTATGGGATCAGTGCCTGCAAAACTGTGTCTGTTTTTGTACATTCTCTAATGTTGTCAATGACAAAAGGGGCCATGTTTGGCACTTCATGAACCTGCACGTTCATGTCTGGGTAAGTGAATGCAGCTGAAGCATTAGTCTCTGGAGCCGTGTTGGCATCTTTGATAAGTCCTTTTTCTGGATGCTTTCTAAGGGCTGGTGGTCAGTATGTATCTTGAAATGTTTTCCAAACACATATGTTCTAAAGTACTTGATTGACCAGATGACTGCCAGGAGTTCCCTTTCTATGTTGCTATAGTTTGATTCTGCGCTTGTCAGTGATTTCGATGCATAATGTACTGGTTTTCCATCTTGTAGAAGCACAGCTCCTAGCCCTTTTTGTGAAGCGTCGCATTCGATAGTGATAGCTTCCTTGCTGTTGAAGTAAGCTAGTGTTGGCGCATGTGCGATTTTTTTCTTTATTTTGTTTAGTGCAGCCTCATGCGCGCTTGTCCAAGAGAAGATTGTATCCTTCTGCAAAAGCTTCCTTATTGGTTCAGTGAGTGGAGCGAGCTTGACGAACTTGGATAGATAGTTAATTAGTCCCAAAAGTGACTGTACTTCTTGCTTGTCTGTGGGGGCCTGCAGTTTGGCTATCGCTTTGACTTTTGATGGGTCAGGCCGTGTGCCTTCTTTAGACAGCATGTGTCCAAAGAATTTGACGCTTTCTTGCAGGTAACGGCACTTTTCACCGTTTAGCTTGATGCCACTTCTTCTGCAAGTATCAAGTATCCGTTGGACAGCTATGTCATGTTCTGTTTTAGTCTCTGTTGCAACCAATAGATCATCTGCGATGCAGTGTACGTTAGGAATTACCCGGAAGAGTGTATCCATTTCTTTCTGGAATAGATCTTGAGAGCTTGATAATCCGAAAGCTAGTCGTCTAAAGCAGAATCTTCCGTACACCGTGTTAAAGGTCGTCAATAGTTGACTATCCTCATGTAGCGGGATGTTCCAATAACCGCTCCGTACGTCAAAGGTGCTGAAGTATTGGCACCCACTTAGGCTTGGTAATACCTCGTCGAGGGTTTGGGTGTAGTAGTGGGGTCGTTGGATGTACTTATTTAGATTTCTAGGATTTAAACAAATTCGTAAAGTTTTATCTGGCTTTGTGACCAGTACGATTGAATTTACCCAATCTGTTGGTTCTTGTACCTGCCTAATTATGCCCAATTCTAGCAGTCTATCTAGTTCCTTCCTTAGAGGTATCTTAAGGACGTCAGGGATTTTGCGAACTGGGTTTATGACTGGTGTAGCATCACTTGTTAGTTTTATTTTGTAAGGAGTTTGCATACATCCTATGCCAGTGAAGGTGTCTTTGTTTCTTTGAATTAGATCATCCCGAGTGTCTGACACTTCGCAAACGTCGTAGTGGCCAGCGCAGTCGATGCAATCTTTGCCGCATAGAATTTCGATAATTCCTAAGGCTTTGCAAAGTTTGAGTCCAAACAAATTATTTCCGTAGTTTGAAACATAGAATTTTACCTTTGTCACAGTATGACCATTGTGTTCAGTATCAATTCTAATTTCGCCATGGTTCTCAAATTTGCGGCCACCATACCCTGTTAGGATTGTATTTGTTTTTCTGATAACGTAATTTGTTCCAAACAACTGTTTGTATGTCTCATAGTTTATGAGGTTTGTTTGTGCGCCAGTGTCTACCTTTCCTCGCAAGACTTTCTTTCCATTTGACGTGAGCATTTTGATATTAGCAAATTGCGTATCGCGGCCATCAATGTTGTTGAATTGTATTTCATCGACGACAAGTTCATCGAACCCGTAATTGGTTGAATCGTCAGAATCGTACTCCTTGGAAACTTCATTTGTTTTGCGACGTTGTGTTTTGTTTTGCCGCTTTTTGTCATTATATTTTCGATCCTGACCTTTGCTATCATGTTGTTTAGGCCTAGATCTACATTTTCTCGCCCAATGGTTCTGTTTACCACACTTTTGGCACTCGTGCCCGAATGCGGGGCATTGCTTTGGTGGGTGATCAAGTCCACAATGTCCACAAT